AGTATGCTCCCTAGTGTGAAGTTTCACTTGAAAATTCCTTTTACCCTGCTTCATTGATGCCCATATCTTCTAAGGATAACCCTTTGCAAATTGCTTGCACATAGCCCCAACCCTATTTGGATCATTCTTATAAAAATGTAAGTTCCTTCCACACTCTATTGTGTATAGTGCCAAAGCTTTCCTAAAGGTAACATCATTATCAAATTTCTGTCCTACAAAAAAATTTAACTTTGTACTATCACTCCCGAACAACTCTCTGCCTTTTCTTACCTTGGGGTGACATAATGTAACTAAAGTCGTCATCATCCTCATTCTCACTAGGACTGTCAACATCACTTTCCCTCCCAATCATTGCCAAATAAATCAACTTCCCTTCCTTAGATAGATTCTGCTACCCTTTTTAACATGTCCATCTCATCTTCGTATGTCTTCTCCTCCAACTTTTGTTGGCTTACCTTACTCCTAGCATGGAGGAGTTCAACATCATCCTCATATGTCCCTTCACTATCATAGTCCATATCAATTCCAAATTGTTCATTAACCCTTGGTACTGAACACCCTACCCCACCACCAGTAAGCAACTCAGTGAAAGAACCATGACCCAATCCCATACCAGTAGTGTGTAATGTAGGCCCTAAATCATGTTCAGTGCAGACATGAATCACTTTGAACTCCAACAAAAGTGACAAGAAAGGATCAAATGTCTTACTATCAAAAGCCAAGAACCTATGAAAATAATATAGTGCAACCGAGTGCACCATGCGCCGTGCACGTGGTAAAACTAAAAAAGGCCGAAAGAACATACTAGTGTTTGAAAAAGAACATATTAGTCAATTAGTGTTTGAAAAATAATATACTAGTGTTTGACAAAGAGCATATATGTATTTGACAAAAGAACATGTTTGTGTTTGACAAAGAACATGGCATTATAAAGAACATATAGTATTTACAAAAAGAACATGATACTACATTAAAGAACATGTTTTTTTTCATGGTTAATGGTAGTTGAATGTGTTTGAAAAAGAACCCTATATTTGCAATAGAACATATTTGTTTGACAACGAACATGGCATTATAAAGAACATGATAATACATTAAAGAACATGTTATTTTTCATGGTTATTTAGATGGTTGAATTTAACATATATTTTTTTAATGTACATACATTAAAGAACATATTTTTTAATGTACATACATTAAAGAACATGTTGTATAATACTATAATGTAAAGAACATATAGTTCAAACTCAAAGAACATAATGATCAAACTCAAAGAACATATTTTTTATTATTTATTTTTTTGAAGGAAAATTCAAAGAACATATTATGCTTGCGCTCTTTATAAATGTCTATAATAATTTTTTTTTTCCGTCCATATTCTTTAAAATATGTCTAATATTAATTTTGGGTATACCAACCACGCATTAAGAACCTAATATCATCATAAGGATCTAAGTAATGCATCTTCACAATTGTTATTTAACAACACTTGTTTGTTTAAAAAAAAATAATTTAACAACACTTGTTAACTTGTCCCCCCCGAATTTCACAAGTTGTGAATCTTGTGATGGTGTCTTTACTTTTTCTTTCCTTTTTCATATTTTTCTTATATTAATTTATTTTAGTTTGTAATTTTATTATTAGTGGATAATGATATGATCTTTACCAAATTCATCAATTTTTCAAATGTTTAGCGGAATTTAAGCGGTACACCCGGAAGGAACGAACATTAGCCACGCCATGTTTATGGTTTTACTATTCTCTAGTTGAGCTAAAAACACTATTTGACCAATTGTGCATTTGAGAATCGGAGATGATATTATTTTATAGACATTAATAATACCTTTCTCTTAAAATAAAATTCAGATGACAAATGACGTGTTTAACAAAATATAGTTGTAAAGGTCCAACACTTCCCTATTTAACAAAACATATTGTTAACAAGGTATTTTAAAAATAAAATAAAATTATATTGTGATAATAGGAACATGATATGATCTTGAGATATATATTATATCCTAAAATTTTACGGGGCACTACGTATATTTTTATATTTTTCTAGCAGCACGTCTTGTGTGTGTCCGGTTGTAAAAGAACAAAGTAAGTCCTATAACACTGACCGAGTAATCCCTATAACACTGATAAAGTAACTCTTGTAACACTGACCAAGTAATCACAGATCGAAAAACCCTTGTATTACTGATCGAATAACCCCTGTTATGGTTGGCCACACCGTGGGACTAACCACACATAATTAAGAATTTGTGTTTTTCTAGAGCAATATTTTTTTTTTTTTTGGGGAGATCATTCTCTTCCTTGAAAATCTAATCTGTTGAATGAGATTATCCGCTAAATTTGAAAAACTATAATGTTTGTTGAGCTTAGAGGATCAACTGATCAAGTTACACGAACATGTAGCAGGAGGGAAGAAATCTCGGAAAGTAGGTGAATCAATTACGCTGCTGTTTGAAAACTTAAAACTCTTTCCCTCCCCATAAATAGTTTTTTTATATGACTAATATGAGGTTATGACTATGAGCCTCTGAACACCGAAAACTTTATCCTATACTCCGTAACTAGGATCATGATGCACATCGTATTTTGAAGAGTGAACATATAGTTCGAAAATATGAACATTTATTTGTATAATAATTACGAACATTGAGAATGAGGGATATCTCAAGTGGTTAGAGCTTCCCTCCCGATTCTAGGAGATCCCTTGATCGATTCTCACCCGCACCCATTATGGCTCTCTAAAACACCAAAAAAAAAATTAATAATTACGAACATTTCAGTCAGTCCTTTTTTCTTAATTACTTCATCAATGAAAATGAACACATATTTTTATTCAAAATAAAATAAAATAATACATGTTCGTAATTTGGAGCTATATACAAGTAAATAGTAATCATTTGGGACAACGGACAATGGTGTGCATCGTAGGCGTATGATCCTATATACTATAGGATTGTGTTAGAAAATACATTAAAAATACAATGACGATCTGTAGCATAATTTACACGATCCTCTAAAATTATTCAGTTTATATTAGGTCTCGTTCTTTTAGATTACAATAATATAACTAAATAAACTAAACATAAATATTGTTGTTGTTATTGTTAATTTCATTTTCTGAACTATAATCTTGAAAAACAATCCAAAGAGCAGGACTAAACAAACATTTATATTCAAATTTTGCAAAACAATAAAAGTTATAAAAAAAATCCATTTTCTTTTAGTGTCGAATCATACTATGTAGTTATTAAAATCCCGATCGATTAAATCTTAGAATTTTATGATTCAGGTATGTCCATACAATTTGATTTACTGTTCTATCCGATTTTACACATTCCTCTTACCTAGCGAAAACCTTACAAGTTTAAAACATGCATACAAGGCTATTTATAAATATATTTTGTCAATTATTGGTTGTTTAGTGGGTAAACAACTATTTTCTATTAATAATTAGGTAATTTTAACTTGTAATAATAAAATATTTAATTAAATTTAAATATGACATCTTGATTATGCATGTCCGTAGAATCTTATGATTCTACATTTCGATTATGAAATCCTCTTTCGATTCAAAGTACAATCTCGATTTTGAGTGAGACACAAAAAGCAATGATATAGACCTAATTGAATCACTTATTTTTTTTTTTTTTTTGATATAATAAGATTCAGTTATTGATATAAAAATCATAAGACATATAATAAGAGATTTAGTTTTATAACATACATATATAACAATTCAACTAAATAAAATAAATATTTTTCTTTCTACAAAGCTACAATCATACTTGCATACCAAACATTTTTTATACCCTCTTTCGAATTCATATCATGTTTTACAATCGTGTTCAAAGAGGGGGTTTTCTCAATCTATGTAATTGTGAAGATAAATTTCATATCATTCATATGATGCAATTAAAAGATTAACCTCTTTTATTTTTATTTATTTTTAATTTGCATAAATCTTTACCCAAAAACAATATGTACAAATTCCACGACAAGGGAACTCATTGCACTAAATAATCATCTTTTTCTTTTTCGTTATACTGCAAAATGTTTTTTTTTTTTTTTTTTTTTTTTTTTTTTTTTTTTTTTTTTTTTTTTTTTTTGCAAAAGCAAGAAAAAAAAATCCATTGTAACCTTCAAACATTGAAAAAAATCCATTGACTACCATAATGTTTTCATGATTATTTAGTTCATAATTGATAATTTTGTTTCAAGTAATCAATTATATCATTTTATTTTTGGTACGAAATAATATTATCAATATTTTTTTTATTATATCAAATTTTAGTTTTCTATAAGTAATTTTTATTCTTATTTTATAGTTTCTCGAAAATCATTTATGTTATGTTGGATTAAAATTTTCAAAAATTATATTTGCATTATTATAGATATTAGAAGAATAATTGTGTCCATTTTAAATGTGAAAAAACAAACCGATTACATTATTTATCATTCAAATAAAATGGTAGTCATTTTCATACAACCGCTGTAAAAACATCCTCAAAACATTTACATAACCTTATTTCTTTCTTTTTTTTTTTTAGAATTTATAGTTTGATTTCTTACATTATTAAGTTATCAATATATTTCGTGCATTATTTACATGGTTACATGTACTCCAATGATTGTATATACATAAGTCACTTAAAGTGGAAGTTACAATAAAGATTGAATAACGCTAAGCATTTATTAAAGCCCTAGTGGGTGTCTTCTCACCAAAAACATGAAAAAAAACCAAGTCGTGTGTCTACCATACGTCTAACGCAATAGTGTATAAAATTTACCTAATGCAAAGGATAATAGGATGAAATAACTCCTAAATCCTCGCGCAAGCTAACTAGCTAAGTCATCAATAATGTAGAATACAAACAAAATATATACTTAGTCAATATCAAAATTTCCAAGAACCACCCAATTTTTATTAGTAGAAAAAATTGATCTATTTACGTTAATGTTCATTTTCTTATATATATGGTCCCATGCAATGAACCATATCTCACAAGTCAAAAACAACTAACTAGAGTTATACAAGAGAAAAAAGAGATCATAAAAACAATGGACTCTTCAAAAATTGTCCCACTTTTTCTAGTATTGTCATCCTTAGTAGTAGGAATCTCAAAGGGTCAAAGTAGTGTACCAGTTGTGCCTGGACTTTCATACACATTTTACTCTTCTAGTTGTCCGAGTTTGGAGTCCATTATTAGAAATCATCTTTCGCAAGTTTTTCAAAGTGATATAACCCAAGCCGCCGGCTTGCTCCGCCTTCATTTTCATGATTGTTTCGTTCAGGTAAATATTAATTTATAAAATTGTAAAAACTATGCGTATATCTTGTTGACTTTTCTACCTTTTTGTAGTCGTAATAGCCTGATATGAGGTTTAGGGCAAAGGTAACTTATTAATTATTATTGTAGCATATCTTAGTTACGATAATCTTGTAATTTCTAGTGGTTTCAAAGTGGATTTTATTATTATTGCTAATCATGACTTTTCATTAATTCTTAACAATGTAATTATTTTGTAAGGGATGTGATGGTTCCGTATTGTTGGATGGATCAGCTAGTGGTCCAAGTGAGAAGGATGCTCCTCCAAACTTGACGCTTAGGTCTCAAGCATTTAAGATTATAAATGATCTTCGTGTGCTTGTGCATCAACAGTGTGGACGAGTTGTGTCTTGTGCGGATATCACTGCCCTTGCAGCTCGTGATTCTGTTAATCTGGTATAATTACTTCTACATTCCCTATGGTTTATTGAATTAGGTGATAAATATTTCTATCCTTTCAAATTATAAGACAATAAATTTTGAAACCTACATCTGACCTTAATTTCAATAATCAACTTTACCTATATTGTTATTAAAAGACTTTTACATTATCTACTAAAATAACTAACATACTTCTGTTACCATAGTACTATTATTATCCTTACCAAGTACAAAAGTTTTACTTTTGTTACCTTGTATATTATTTTTAAAGCTGTCGTACCTTTGTAATTTAGATACCAAATGAATACAATTTCAGATGCTTTATTATAGTACACGCTTTAAATAAATAAGTTAATTTATAATTTAATTCAAGTTTTTCCTTTTGAAAAAAGGTTCTAAAGACGTCCATTGAAATAAACAAATAAAGAGGACGCTCCATTTTTAGAGTCTAAGACGTGCTTGGTGAGTATGTCATGTGTATATAGTCGGATACTGAACATATCACCTACTGAACTATATGCTATAATATTTGCTTGTCTTGCTAAGCACGTTACCATCTCGTTACTTAGGACTAGTTAGGAGGGTGCCCAAGAGTCAACATTTAGATGAATAAGATAATCGCTTGTTTTAAAGTCAACTAGCGCAAATGGTGTCTAGCGTAGAGATGTCAGTAGGGCGGGTCAAATTGGAGACCCGCCCTATCCCCGCCCCAACGAGATGGGGATGGGTCTTGGTTTGGCGGGTGATGGGGCGGGGATGGGGATAAAAACCATACCCGTCATGGGTGATGGGGCGGGGGTGGATTTTAGGTTGTACCCGCCCCACCCCACCCGCCCCACTTCGTACCCGCCCCATCCCCATCCACCCTACTTTGTACCCACCCCATCCCCACATCCATGTATTTTTAAAAACAAAATTATATACTTTTATATTATTTTATAAAAAAAATTATGTATAATAAAATAGTATATTATAATACTTTGTAATACACTTATATTATAAACAAAAAAATGTATAATATTAACAATAATTTTTTTCTTTTTGCAAATTTTATTAATTGTGAAGGATTGTGCATTTGGGAGGCGGGGATTAGGCGGGTCTTAGGTGGGGATTAGGTGGGGGTGGATATCCAAGTGGGGGTTGGGGCGGGGATGGTTTTGGAATTGTACCCGCCGGGGCGGGGATTGGGATGAATTTTAGACCCGCCGCGGGGATGGGGATGGGGATGGGTATGAAAATTTTAGATGGGGATGGGGATGGGAAGGCCAAAATCCGCCCCGCCCCGCCCCATTGACATCCCTAGTCTAGCGTGAAAACAATTGGCTTATCCAAAAGAGTAGAGGACTCACCATTAAAATATACTTTTTAAACTGTAGAACTACAATAACGGATAAATATGACATTATTTTAATTTCTAATCTTTGATTTGTACGATTTTAATCATACAAACCAATGAAATACGCAGTACAAGTATTAGATACGTCTTTATTTTATTTTAATTAATTTTATTAATTTTTTTTGCCGTCCTATTGTAGTTAACTTTATTACTTGTTTTTTTAAAAAAAAGTTAACTTTTTTGCTAGTATATTTTTTTTTGGTGCACAACTTTATTACTAGTATATGCATCCACATATCCTAATTTTGTCACATCAATTGCTAAATTTATAGGCAGGTGGACCATTCTATGGCATACCCTTAGGAAGAAGGGACGGACTAAACTTTGCTACAACAGATGCAACACTAGCCAATCTACCACCTCCCTCTTTTAACACTACACAACTCCTCAATTCCTTTGCTACCAAAAACCTAAATGCCACGGACCTCGTCGCCTTATCTGGTGGCCACACCATCGGTATCAGCCATTGCACCTCTTTTACAAGTAGACTCTACCCTACTCAAGACCCTACCATGGCCCAAACTTTCGCTAACAACCTTAAGCTCACGTGTCCTACTACTAACACTGATAACACTACAAACTTGGACATTCGTACTCCTAACATTTTCGACAACAAGTATTATGTTGATCTTATGAACCGCCAAGGCTTGTTCACTTCCGATCAAGATTTGTTTACTGATTCAAGGACGAAGGGAATAGTCACAAGTTTTGCGGTTAACCAAACCTTGTTCTTTCAAAAGTTCATAGACGCGATGGTTAAAATGAGCCAACTTAATGTATTGACGGGGTCACAAGGGGAAATTCGCTCGAATTGCTCCGCAAGAAATGCTAATAGTAGCGTGGATCTCAAGACTATGGTGGATGTGGATCAAGAACAAGGAAGATTGTCACAATATTGAGTAACATTTGTACTTCAAGTAGAGTATTATTTGGAGTTTAACTATTTATTTATATATGTATGTTTGGTAAACTTTTTACGTGTAAGGTGTGACGATGTCTAGATGTGTGCCTTTGGTGTGTTATCTATATACAATATGCATGAATAAATGAGATTTAATCTCAACGAATTCCATGCTCAAGTATTGTATTTTTAATATGTTTCTCGTATCATTGGGTAACTTGCTAAGTTTCTTTGCTCCCATTTTTAGTATTAATTTACTTGCATGCAATGTTCTGACTTTGTACACTTGTGTAATTATTCCATATACGCTACCTTAACTACGAAGAATATTTGTTGGTTTTAACTTAAGAGGAAAAAAAGTCATCACATGGATCCGCGTCTTACTTGTTACCTTGATGATTCAATATTGCCCCATTTTATCACTTCTCAATCCATTTTTTTTTTTCTTAATTATATGTCGATGTACCCGTAGTGAGTGTGAATCGTGTGATCATTGCTTTATCTAATGATAAATTAAACCATTATCAATTAATTCTGTACCCTAATGGTAAAGTTAAGAGAAAATAAAGTAATCACACAATTATATAAAAAGATTCGCTACACAATCTACAATTCTATAGTCATTTGTTGTTCTAATCATCAATGACAATCCTCCTTTTCACTACAAATAGTTAAGAAATTTGTGTTGGGCCATGATCGCTTCACCTGGCCTTATTATCATAGTATTCAACAAAATAATTTAAGTTCATCAGCAATAATAAGTCCAGTTCAGTATATATAAATTTAATTAGTAAAATCCATTAGGTTTAAAGAACAAATATAATAGAGAATCAATTAAAATAAGTTTAATTTGTAAAAATAATTTTTTTTTCAGAAAACGAATAATACCTGGTTATGTTATCTTTAACTATATAATATACAAGAGTGAATTATAATCCTACATATATATGCTGGACATGGTAATATATTCAACTTGTTCCCAATACATAATTGACTTTGATGGTCAATTTACATCAACGTTGACAATTGATTTCTTTTTAATTTAATTTTTTAAATCAATATACTAAATATGTATCACATGATCTTATTACCTGACGATTTGACTAAAATATAACCTTATATGTACACTAAACCGATTATAAGGAAAATTATATCAAATGAAGTCTTATTAGATTTTTAAAAATGTGAATTTTCCAAATAGTAATTTACATAATTTTTATAATTATGAAATAAAGATATATTTAGCAATACGTACAAATCTGCATATAAAGCAATAAGATTTGTTTTGAACTTATTTTTTCTGATATGATTTAATAAAGCAAATAATAAAGTAATGAAATAAGGTGAACTAAAAATAAAATAGCCTAAGCATATGTGAGGGTTCGGTTGCTGATTATACTCACTCTGTTACCTTTTTCACCTTTTTCTTGCACCTGCATACCTTTATATAATCTTTCTAACTGATAGAATATATAAACCAATCTCGGGTTTCAACCATAAACAAGTGGAATATTTCACGCATGGTTTGCGGAGGCTCCATGTATCCACATTTCAAGCTCAAAGGGCTCTCATGTAAGGGATCGTGATAGAGTTTAAAAACATATTTGTGGATCTCAACCATAAGTTTAAACTTTTGATTAAGTTGGTCATCTAACAGATTAACACTAACTTTGTCCATTATTGTTTTCTTACACTCGCTCACCACATCAACAAATTCTGTTTCCGTAATTGTCATATATTGTATGTATGTAAACAGTATATTTTTTCCTCGAAAAAGTAATTAAAACAATCGAGAGGGGATGGAGGAGGGAAATTGAAGAGAATAACCTAATATAAGTATATGCGACGATGCGTTACCTCTAGATCGGGAGGTGGAGGTTATTAAATATATGAAAAAATTACATTCCAAAATACCTATAATGGAAATACCCTTATCTTAGTGAATCCTTTCCAACTCCAAAGTTTCATAACAAGATCGTTTTTGAGTAAAACTAACACTAGAGGAGTTGTGTGTATGTCTTGCTTTAATCCTGCAAATCGGCTTCATTCTTTTGACAAAAGAAAGTTAGTTCAACTTGTCAAATTTTATCCCGATGAATTTTCAAGCTCTTAGTTATTATTTTTTGAACATTCACTTGAAAATTTCATTGTTGATGTTCGAAATGATGAGAGATTTTGGAATTTGAAAAGTCTAAGTGAACTTTCTACGAAACTTGTTGAGACGGGAAAGTTTGAAACTCATGATCGAGTCTACTTACTTTTGAAGTTAGTGTTGATTCTTCCTGTTACAACGACAAGTGTAGAAAGAGTATTTTCCGGAATGACGCAAGTGAAAGATAAATTGCATAATAGCATGGGAGATCAAATGTTGAACGATTGTTTGATTACTTATATAGAAAGAGATTTGTTTTACAATGTTACCATGGATGATATTGTAAATCGTTATCAAAATACGAAAACTCATCGAGAGCAATTGTAATAAAATTAGTAATTTTTTAGTTGTAATACGAATTTGCATTACTTTATGAAATGAACTTTTTTATGTATTTTTTTTGTTCATTATACAAGTTTTGACTATTTTTTTTATACTTTATGCGGTCGATGGACGATGATGGGACAACTTATTAATCAAATCCTGGATCCGCCACTGCTAGAGGGGTAAATTACAAAAATACAGAAGTTTGTTAGACTTCGTCATTATTGCTAAGACTACTGTTATCTTATAGATAAAATAGAAACTAACAGAAAGAGACTTAAACATACAAAAAATGTTAATTCTAAATTAAATATATGATGATTCTTATGATCATGTAGCCAAACCAATGACAAATAATGCTATGCACTAAATCGAGACCATAATTTTTTTATTTTTTTTTTTTGAAAGAGGGACAATGACTTTGTAATTATGTTACCTACGAAATACATAGAAGAATTGGCAATTTAGAATTTTTTTGTACTACCCCTGCTTCATATTATATACAATAGTTAAAATTTTAATATCTCACAAAAAATATCCAATTTTTACACTTACACATAATGTGAAATGAAAGTAATTGATGAAAATTTATAGAAGATGGCTTTCAATAAATAAATTATCTATTCCTTTTCTCTTAAAAAATTGATAACAAAATTATCAAGCGTGTGTCTGCCATACGTAAGACTTTTGACCAAATGCCAAGGCAGATAAAAAAAAAATGCCTCAAGCCTGTGTCATTCATGCATGTGGAATATATAATCAAGACAAAAAAATAATAATTTTAGTCAATTTTCCTATTTCAACTAACCAATTACAACTAATACACCAAACTATCAAGACTATTACTCTTTTGTTTTTTTTATTATTTGTCCCACCCAGAATCTTAAATTTGAAGATAAAGAAAATATTAATGTTAACTATATTGGATAAATATAAGTAAAAATATATAAATATTAACGTGTGAGCTTGTGTGAGCTTGTTAGATTCATCACTACTATTTTTATCTCTATTAAAAAAATTTGATGAAAAATATATATTGAAAATCGTGTACATAACATATGGAGCAAAGCAAAAGAAAGGATGAAATCTTATATATAAACTCGGGTGTAAGGTGTACCTAAGGTACATTCTACTCATTTGGTATTTTTCTTTTCTCATTTTAAAATCTTGAAATGAGGAAAAAATACCCTTGGGTGCACCTACCTCTATATGCACCTCGAGTAAGGAGTACAATCTAATGAGTAGCTTATTATTATAATATTATTATATTACCCATAATATATTTTCTCCCATTCTCTACCTCTTTTATTTCTTATATATTGGCTTCTGCAATGGACAATGTTTCCAAGTCTATCTAAAACAACTTTATAGATGGCAGCCTTAAAGTTTTTGCCTCTATTCCTAGTTGTATCATCTTTAATAATAGGAGTCTCTAAGGGTCAGAGTACAATACCAGTTGTGCCTGGTCTTTCATACACATTTTATTCATCTAGTTGTCCTGGTTTGGATTTCATTATTAGAGATCATCTTTGGAAGGTTTTTCAAAGTGATATAACCCAAGCTGCTGGTTTGCTCCGCCTTCACTTCCATGATTGCTTCGTTCAGGTATATATCTACGTATGTCTGAATTTAATTGTTGCGTAGCACTAGTTGATGATACAATCAACGTGACATTTAATTATGAGGAGTATGCCAATTCAGTGTAACTCGTAAGCTTGATGGTCAATTATAGAATTAAATTTTATTTTATGTTCTGATCGAGTAGAGGGGTCAATTATTATTACTACGTACTACTGTAGTATATGACAAGTAAATGTTAGAATAGCGTTATAAGCTTGATGGTCAAGCTAGCTTAGCTAACTGATAAGGTCTATTCTACAGTATATGGATGAATTTCATTATGCATATTTTTACTCACGATGTTATGCCTTTGTATTATAGGGATGTGATGGTTCAGTGTTGTTGGATGGATCAGCTAGTGGTCCAAGTGAGAAGGATGCACCTCCAAACTTGACGCTTAGGGCTCAGGCATTTAAAATTATAAACGATCTTCGTGCCCTTGTGCATCAACAATGTGGACGGGTTGTCTCTTGTGCTGATATCACCGCCCTTGCTGCTCGTGAATCCGTATTTCAGGTATTGTTATTATCTTCTATTAAATTATGAAACTATAACCTTAGCCATTCGATAATACGTACTCTCTCTGTCCCTATTGTTTTATTGCTCCATTTGACTTTTTACGGTTTTCAAGATGTGTCTTAAAACGTCTTCATATAATTCCATTTCCATACACACAAAAAAAGTATTATAAAACCTGATATTAATAAAATATACAATGAGATGAATGTAGCAAGATTCCACGTGATTATATTATCACTTATAGATTAATATGAATTTATAGTAAAAGTTTTTGAAATTTGACCCAATTGGAGAAAAAATATTGACAGAGGGAGTTGTTAGCTAATAAAGTAATTTTAAAATGGTAGGGTTCAATTAGCTGAGGGATCGGAGTATGCAATGTATGGCTGGTTTCCCAAGAGACAAGATATGATAATTTTTTCTATGAAATTACATAAATTATTTGAATGGATTTTGTATTTGTTAGGGGTTGTCCCCAAGACCGAATATGTTGATTTGAAAATTATTAATTTTGTGTGACACAAGATTTGAATAAATGTGTTTTAGTACTGGCGGCTAAACTAGAACTTGGAAAAAATACAAAGATCCAATAAACAAATAAGGACTTTATTATTTCAAATCTAACCTCTTTTTTCTTGATTTTATTTTTGAATGATTTGAAAAATAATTTACAAGAATATTTTATTAATATTTATTAATTTGCGAACACACCTACTTGACATAAATTATGAGAAAGAGGTTAAATAATGTTAACAGACAAATTAATCAACATAACCACGTAATACCTAACACAGTAACACTATTTCCTACTCTAATCGCCTCCTAAAATTACATAAAAAATCACCTTTTGAAAAATCGTGTCTTAAAACTATATTTGTATTTTGTATGATTAATTATCCATCGTATGTAGAATTATGATCTCACACTATCATATTTTGCTTTGTGATTTTTCAGTCAGGTGGACCATTCTACTGGATTCCCTTAGGAAGAAGGGATGGCCTAAAATTTGCTACACTAAACGAAACACTAGCCAATCTACCACCCCCCTCTTTCAACACTGACCAACTCCTCAACTCCCTATCCAACAAAAACTTGAACGCCACGGACCTCGTGGCCCTCTCCGGAGGCCACACCATCGGGCGCAGCCATTGCTCCTCCTTCACCGATAGACTCTACCCTCAAGACCCTACCATGGACCAAACCTTCGCTAAAAACCTTAAACTCACGTGTCCAACAAAGACGACTGATAACACTACGAATTTGGACATTCGTACTCCTAATGTCTTTGACAATAAGTATTATGTCGACCTAATGAATCGTCAAGGCTTGTTCACTTCCGATCAAGATTTATATGCTAATTCAAAAACGAGAGATATTGTTACAAGTTTTGCCATCAACCAAAACTTGTTCTTTCAAAAGTTTATAGATGCAATGGTTAAAATGGGACAACTTCATGTATTGACGGGATCACAAGGGGAAATTCGTGCTAATTGTTCAGCAAGAAATGCTAATAAGTATGATGAGGACATCAAATCTGTGGTGGAAGTTGATCAAGAACAAGGAAAATTGTCACAATTTTAAGGAACAAACATTGTACTAAAACTTCAAGTAGATATGTATGTTTGACTAGCCTCCTACACGTAAGTGTCGATGTTTTGATGTGTGTGTTTAGTATGTTATCTTATAATAAGGTGAGGTGTGATGTCAATGAACTTGTTTGGAGCGTTTTTCTTGACTTCTTGTATCATTGGGTACAAATTGAATGGTTTCTGCCTACGTTTTCTTTTGAAAAAAATACTCCTGTTTTTAAATGATCGCATCTAAATATTGGATTAGTAGAAAAGTTGCGATATGGACAGAAGTTGTTAATATGTAAAATTGTAAAAAGTTAATCTTGTTCCATATTTAGGTAGTAATCAAATTCTTAGAAAAAAAAAGGAGATTTTTCTGTGTGGCTGGCCATACCGTGTGGCTTGGATTACTCGAGTTACTCGGTCAGGGGTTACTAGTAACCCCTCAAGTAACCCCTAACCGAGTAACCACTTGAGTAACTCATGACCGAGTAACCCCTTAAGTAACCACTGACCGAGTAACCCCTTAAGTAACCCCACAAATAACCCCAGACCGAACCCCTCAAGTAACCCCTGATGATCAAGTAACCCCTCAAGTAACTTCTGACCAAGTAACTCGAGCAAGTCCGACCACAAGGTATGGCCAGTCACATTTAAAAATTTGTAAAAAAAAAAGGCAGTACTTTAGGTAGTGATTTCCAATATGACGCCAAAACTTCATTCTAGTTAATCTTGTTCAATATTTGACTAGCTATATTTCCTACACTTGTAAAGATAGGTTTCGGGTGAAAACAATGGGTCCTTTGTCCAGACCTTTCCTGTAGGCTGAACACTGGGCTCGCCCCAAGTGATGACTGGGACGAGGATTTCCTGCACAGCAAACACACGTAAACTGGCCTCGGGGGTTGTGCTGAGAAAGGCCCCTTCGATGCTGAAGTCAGTACAGTGTTTTCTAGAGAGAGAAAACTGTGCAAGAGAATTAATTGCTTGAGGCTTAATGTGAATGAATTGAGAGTAAGAGAAGTGAAGGCATTTATACATTATTCAAATAGATTAAATAGGCCTTGAAGCCAAGTGAGTTTGCCACATTGATTGGGCCTGCTTTGACTGACTTGACATGCTTAGAAAAGTTGAACCTGCTTTGAGCTTGTAATTGGATCATTTGTGGACAGGTCCAATTGAAATAAATTGGACCCAAACAGATAGTATACACAACTTGCATGACTGATGAAGATTATCCTATGATTTCTATCGGTTATTTTGGTTGTGCTAATATATACATGATCATTGGCCGGTACAAGCTGGAAATGGTAAAAAAGGCCCATTTTGGACCCATTTTGGCCAAAGTTTCGGCCAAAAAAATTGCGCCCAAATTAAACCTGCTTTTTTCTTAAAAACAAAAATTAATTAATTTATTTATTTATAAAAAAAACGTCCAAACTCGCTGTTTCAAGTCAAAAAATAGCTTTAAGGCAAGAGAAACGGGACCAAGTGCATGAAGAAGACACGATTGTTAGGATTACTAGACAGAAGCTGGAGATATTATTTGGCTGATAGAACAATGTCTACTACAAGTGGGGGGTGAATTGTAGACTTTAAAAAATTTTGCGGAATTAAACTAACTATTAAGAGAGAAGACACTCGAAATAGGCAATGAATTATTTTACTATGTAAAGATGAATTACAAACTTAAATATTCTGCCTAGACCCAGTTCCGTGAGGAATTCAAGTTTCCCAACTACGATCCCTCAATCGCAGTTTCACTATCTCTGTGATTCGACTTGAATCACTTGTACAATGTGAAGAACTCTCTCAAGCCTCACACTTACAACTCTCACAAACCCCAATCCCAATTACAAAGTAACTACAGGATTTTCCTAATGCACTTAAGAGACTCAAGGATGGAAAGAACTCAGCTTTTAAAATACTTAGAAACTTTAACGCTCAGAAAGCTTCAATTATTTTTCCACGCTTCAAAACAGCATTGTTGATTGCTTTTTATAGAGAGAATTGTTAAGTCTCAACCATGTTCCCACTTCCCCCTCAATCCCACGTTTATCATAACTAGGAAGTTAAGATTTACGTTGAGGGAGTGGAGAATCATGGTTTCACTGACTTCTCTCCCAAGTTCAACGTGACTCCTTAAAACAAGCAAACAAGTTTACTGGGTCAAAAACAGTTAAAAGAATATTTATTAATTGATAAATATTTATTTAAGAAATAATAATCAAAAAGATATTTAAAAAGATAAAACATTTAAATAATTATTTTATTTAAAATTAATAAACTTATCTTTTAAATTAAAGAATTATTTAACTTTTATTTATTTCTAAAACGTATCTTTTCAAACTGATTTTTACCCTTTCCTTATTTCAAGGATTTCAAAACTGTTTTAAATCTTTAGTAAATTCTTTTCTGAGTCAAACGTTAAGTTCCTTCAGGAACTCCAGGTTTTATTTATTTCTGGAACTTCAAGTTTCTTATGCGTTCCTTCCAACACTTTGATTCCCAAGTGCGTACAGAAAATATTCTAAGTATTGCAGCTTGTAAGTTTTTCTTGAAAGCTTGCTTATCACGTCAAGACTTCCAAACTCTTTTGTTCCTGCTCCGGAACATTTAGCTTATACCTGAATCTTCTATTTAACCAGGACTCAACACACATTATTAGTAAGAGTTTGTTTTGTTAAGTCAATCATCAAAATATTAAGGTAGTCAATTCAACATTGCCTTTTGTGAGATCACATGCATAATGAAAACAAAGGATTCTACTTTAAAATTGAAATAAAGTGGAGAATTACAAGTTAATAATACACATGCATAATGTAAAACCATAACAAATCAACAATTACAACAACTAATGAACAAAAATTATGCAATTTAAACCAAAAGTAATTTAAAAACTAACCTCAAAAACCAATGAGAATCCAAAATTCAATTCGTCAACTGAAGAAAATCAACAAAACAAAGGAATGATGAAGAGAAATATGAACAGAGGAGAGAGAAATTGCAGAGCAGTAACAGAGAAATAAATTGAAGAATAGTGTAGAAGAGTAGACGCGCTAAAATGAAAAAAAAAAAACGGAAACAAAAAATAACCGCTGGACTGGCATGTGTGAGACCAGTCCAGAAGAGAGAAGTGGATCGGTTTTACACTAAGTTAATGTAAGCCGGCCTTTTTCAAGAATTTGTGTTTTAATTAATGCATTCGTATGACTTAAATTTCATGTCAGAAATACATTTATGCCAAAATCTTGTATGGCAGTACATCTCACTAACGGAACATAATTAATCATTTTTAATGAGAATATATTATGTGAATCTAGATTCCTAATAAAATGAAAATAAGTTACACAAAGTAAATTATTAGACGTACATTTTGTAAACCTTTTGAAAATCTCGACTTTTGAAATTTGAATATACGCTTTTGAGCATTTTAGGTAAGTCATTGAAATTAAAAATTCCATATAATTTGTTAGACATATTTATCAATTTTTGGGTGGTTGAATTACGGTGAAACGAACTCATCTAATATTTTGTTATGGAGATACAATATATGGTTACTAAACGTGTTTAATACAATCTAATTTTCAAAAATTCATCTTTGCAAATAGGCAATATGAATTGAAGTCACTAAACGTGTTACACAAAATCCAATCATTGCATATATACAACAGTAGAAGAAGTACCTTACGTAGTTACGTAAGTTATACTTCGTATGAGTTTAATTATGACAAAATGAAGGGGGAAGATAAACCCTAGCTAAGCACGGAAGCACCAACACTATGCATGTGGATAAATATGATTCACAAATCAATCCTGAAATATCAATCAAGTTAATAAAAACAAAACTAACAAAATTTATTAACGTCTTATCTCTATTTTGCCTCCTATAAATAGGGCTGTGAAATGCATGGGCAATATCTTCAAGATAAAAATAATAATTAGAGTTTTAAAGTGAGAAAAATACAAGAGAAAATAATAATAATATGGTACTCTTTAAAAATTTCTCTTTTTTCGTAGTTGTTATATCTTTGGTGGTAGGAAAATCAAAGTGTCGTCATAGCTCAGTTCCAGTTGTGCCTGGTTTATCATACTCACATTATCAAAATAGTTGCCCTGATTTGGAATACATTATTAGGGATCATCTTTGGGAGGTTTTTAATCGTGATATAACGCAAGCAGCTGCTTTACTCCGTCTTCATTTCCATGATTGCTTTGTTCAGGTATTATTATGATATTACGAGTAATTATAAACTATGAATAGGTGAAAAAGTCAATGTATGTAAGTATATGGAACGAAGAGAGTATAATAAAAAATGTTAAGTCTAATTATACAGAGATATTATTAAAATGTTTTATTATCATTATTTTGAAACAACAATGTTAAACCACCTTCATTTCATATGCATTTCCTCATCACAAACCAATTAAGAAATTAGATTATCAAAACTTTAAAGAAAGAACACATTTGTTGCATATAATATAAATCATTCGATTTTGATAAATATTGCAAATATTATTCTATTGGTGGTTTAGTTTTCAATTATATTTACCGGAGTTTATTCAGAATATCATATTGATATGCTATAGTGTGCATATATACAAAGTATATAGTCAATAAACTTTATTTAATATCAAATTATATATAGATTCTAATAATGATTTCTCAACTTTTAATAATTTCTCCTGCCCAAAAATTCAAAATATTAATACAACTCCACATTTATTTGTTAGGGATGTGATAGTTCAGTACTTCTTGATGGTTCACCTAGTAGTCAAGGTGAAAAGGATGCACCTCCAAATTTGACGCTAAGGCTTGAGGCATTTAGAATTATAAATGATCTTCGTGCTCATGTGCATTACTATTGTGGCCGAGTGGTATCTTGTGCTGATATCCTTACCCTTGCAGCTCGTGAGTCTGTTTATCAGGTATTAATTTATAGTCCTTTTAAACTAACCATGTTAATTAACAAATTAGTTGATAAATATTTAAAAATTTAGGTTCTTTTTTTAATCGTTTTACTTTTACTTTCAATTGCCAATTCTTAATTAGATCACTTATTTTTATCAATTTTGTATTTATATATTGGTAAATAATACTAGTCCTATTTACGTATATCAATGCAAATTTTTGGTCTCAAATATCTTTAATTTCACACTCATAAAAATTATAAAAAATAAATAATAATAAAGTTATTGAGACGAATAAAATTAGATCTCATATTATTATGTTTGTTTTTATATATAAAGAAAAATTTAGAAGACTGCTTCTAATTTTTAATAGTCAAATGATTCTAAATGGGACTAACATTATGAAACGCAGGGAGTAAAAATACGTATTTAAAATATATATTGACACAAATCCTTTGACATTTTATAGTACAACATTTTGTGTGTGTATATATATTTGTTAAAAAAAAATCATATTCTAAGCTACTTAGGTATGTGAATAATAAAATAGTCAAAGTGGAATAACTAATTTTTGTAAAAAGTAATAAATAGATTAATTAATATTTTAATAGATAAAAAAAGCTACTTATACGAGGTTTTTTTTAGATAGAAAGCTAGTTATCCGAATTAATTTTATTTTTTTTTGGAGGAAAAAAACAATTAAGTTAATGAAATTTATACATAAAAATTGTGACCAAAGTTAATTTGTGAATAATACTAAGAGATGAAGGAAATATAATACTACTCCATATATAACTGTGATTTTTTTTTTAACAGATAAGATAAAAACTTTATAACGCCCTCCTTGTGAGGGGTACCCATACTACTTATGTGGCCTATGATAATATTGTAAATTCAATACTCCGTACAAAAAAAAATAAAAATAAAAAAAATAATGTTGTTTATTTATTTATTTTTGTCAACTACATTATATAATTTTAAAAGTCATAACAACTGTTGTATCCAATGACTCAAGAATAAACAATATTACGTACAACTCTATCGTTAATTTTAAAATGGTAGTCATATTAATACTACCTTAGTTTATTTTATTCTGTTAAATTTAATTTTTTAATTATTTATTTATGTATTTATTTTTGTTAAGTTGAATTCGCCTGAGGATTAACGTTTTTGCCTTTATTTTCCTTATTTTATCAAATCCCTTCACAATTTAAATTTATTACTTTGTAATCTAATTTTCTAGGCAGGTGGACCTTTCTACAATGTTCCCTTAGGAAGAAAGGATGGCCTAAGCTTTGCTTCAAGAAACGAAACACTAGCCAATCTACCACCACCCGTTTTCAACACTACACAACTTATCAACGCCTTCGCCGCCAAAAGCTTGAACACCACGTGTTTGGGTCCAATTTAGTCAAAATTGGGCCTGAGCACTAAATGATCCAATTAAAAGCCCAAGGTCAAGGTTCAACTCTCCAATTGCTCAAAAGTCAAAAGTCAGCCCACAAAGTAAGCCAATTGGGCTAAAGCCCAACCTCTCCAAATATGATGAGGTATAAAAGCCCTCATATTAACACATTCAAGGAGAGAGTCATATTCTTACATAAGACATCTCATAACATCATATACACTATCAGACACAACAACACATGCATCATCACATACATTATCTCATACACGGATTATTCCAACTCATATGCTCATTCTTGCATTGAGAAATACTCCACAAAAGCCTCAAGCTACAAACTCTCTTGCATAGTGTCTTCCTTTTTACACATTGTACTGACTTTAGCATCGGAGGGGCCTTCCTCGGAAACACCCCCGAGGCTAGTTTACGTGTGTTCACTGTGCAGGAAACCTTCGGCCCAACACAGCTTGGATCGAATCCAGTCTTCTCCATTTTAGTGGACCTTCGGCAAGGTCCCATTGTTTTCAACCGAAACAATTTGGCGCCGTCTGTGGGGAAGACTTTCAAAAATCTTTAAGCCAAATTCCTAACCAAGATCATCTTGCAATTATCTTAGCAGCCATGGCTAAGAACCGCAAGAGCAAAAGCCTCCGTCAAGGAGCGGGCGAAAAGCCTAAAACCCCTACACCATCGCCCTCGCCGGACCGGAACTCTCCCAAGGGTGCCGGCTCGGGGGGAGGATCACACAAGGAGGATTCCCTATCTCCTATAATGCATGACTCTCAATATAGGCCGGACCACTCTCGGTCTAGCAGGGGTCAGTCTGATCATAGGACATATTCAGTGTCCCAAAGCCAACCATCGGCTGCACGGCCTCATTACCACACTCGGCCGGGGACCCCTTTGACGGGGCCCAGTTCGGAGGAGGTGGCAAGAGCGCTGGCAGTACTCATGGAGGCAATGAGGGCACAGAATATGCCACCGCCTCGTGATCGAACTCCTCCGCATACCCGGCATCAGCGGAGGAAGTTAGACCATGACGGTGGGAAGCTTCCTTCCTTCCGGGAACTGGAAGAGTGGGAGGAGGATTCTTGGAAAAATGAAAAAACAGAGGAAGAAGAACTCTCAATTATTTAAAGGATCCTCATCCTCAAGACCAGCAGCGCATAAGAGCAGCAGCTCAGCTTCTCGGCCAGAATCTGCTCGCCGGGAACCTGAGACTGCTCGCAGAAGCGTCCTTGACCGACTCGGCGGCCAGGAACCGAGCGTGCGTAGTCGCCTCACGTTCCCTGCAGCCGAGGCCCAGACTTCCCAGCCAGGGACGAAAACCACTCCTACCTCTCTGAGAGGGCGGAGCGCGGTCCCTTCGGCCAGGAACAAGGGCAAGGCCATTATGCTTCCCGCTAGTTCACCATTCGAGCAATGGATACTAGAAGAGCGCGTACCCACGGTTAAAATACCGTCGCATATCACATATGACGGGACCACGGATCCGAAGGACCACGTGGCCTCGTATGAGGCTCATATGCATCTTTGCCCCAGATCCGAGGCAACTTGGTGCAAATATTTCCCAACCACTCTCAAGGGGGTCGCGCAAGCGTGGATCTCCAAGGGAGTAAGGCAAGGCTCCATAACAGGTTGGGATGATCTGTCCTCCAAGTTCAGGAGCAAGTTTTCCACGGCAAACCGCCGAGAAAAGACTACCGCAGAGCTCATGGGTCTGCAACAGGGGGAAACCGAAAGCCTCCGAGACTACCTGACCCGTTTCAGTAACGAGTCATCAAGCGTCTCTCAGCTGGACCAGGGGCTAGCTGTTTTTGCAATGCAGAATGGCCTTCAGCCAGGAAAATTCCTAGACTTCATGGTCATGCATACCCCGCAGACCTTGGAGGAAGCTCTTAGTGCTTCGGATAAGTTCATCCGAGCCGAAGAATGGAATAAAGCAAAAACCCAACCTCAATCCGGGGGAGGGAAACAGAGGCAAATACCCTTGTCTGAAGGCCAAGGCCATAAGGCAAAGGGAAAATCAAAGGCCTCGGAGCCATCTTCGGCCAGCGACCTAAAGAAGGACAGGTTTGCCTCATACACAGGCAGATACGAGTCCTACACTCCGCTCTCTCTTCCACGCGCCAAAATTTACAGTGTGACGAAGGAGGAGCAGAGTTACCGAAAGCCGAGACCACTCCCAGAGTGGTATCAGCGAAAAAATAAAAATCAGTGGTGTGAGTTCCACGAGTCTTCGGGCCACAACACTGAAGAGTGTATCCAGCTGAAGGACCAGATAGAAGACATGGTCCGGAAGGGATACTTGAAAAAATACATCGCGGATCACCGCGAGAAAAAAGAATCCGAAAGGTTAGCAAAGGACCCTCGGCAGGACCTTGATTTCCCCCGGAAAAACAGTAAAAAACCGGAGGGGAAATTCCCTCCGATCAATGTTATCTCGGGAGGAATATACTCTCGGAGGGAGCACAAGCGTCACCTTAGAGCTTTGACTCACCAGGTGAACAACGCTGACATTCAATCTCCCCAGTCGCCGGTGCCGAACATGACGTTCACAGCCGCCGACTGCCGGGGGATTACGTTCCCTCACGAGGATCCGTTGGTGATCATCGCCACGGTGGCCAACCACGACGTCAGTAAGGTCCTTGTTGACGGTGGCAGCGGAGCAAACATTCTGTTCCGAAAGGCCTACAACCAAATTAAGCTGAAGCCCAAGCACCTTACGCCGGTACCCTATCCGGTATCCGGGTTCAATGGGGCTTCAACTTATCCAGATGGGAAGGTGACACTTCCTGTCACCATCGGTTGCGATGAGGCAGCCCGGAACGTCATGATTGAGTTTTTGGTCATCGACGCTCCTTCAGTGTACAACGTGATTTTGGGGAGACCCATAATTCACGAGATCCAAGGGGTCGTCTCAACTTATCATCAGCTGATGATTTATGTCTCAGACGCCGGCTTCCCCGAAAGGATACAGGGCAACCAGAAGGACGCCCGAAGGTGCAACTACCTCAAGCCATCCAGTAGTCGCCCAGATAACGACAAGGATGAGGAGGAGAAAGAAAAAGAAAGAGAGCCAAGCACAAAAAAGCCGAAAGGCCTAAGTGCTTCGGCCCAAGGATCAGTGCCCAGAGAAAAAGGTCCCGAAAGGGAAAAGGTTGACTCTTCATCTGAGCCGAAAGACTCAGAGAGCCAGCCGAAGAACACAAAGACTGGGACACCTGCTGACATTGGCAGCAGACCAGATTCTGAAGAGTCCAGTCCATCAGCAATGGACATGGACCAACAGACTGAAACAGCAGAGTTGGCCGAAGGAGATGCTGAGAAATGTGTAACAATCGGGATGGACCTTGATCCTAACACCCGTTGTGAACTTATTCAGCTCCTGCGGGATAACAGAGATGTGTTTGCTTTCTCGGCAGCTGATATGCCCGGGATAAGTTCAGACCTCATCTCCCATAACTGAAGGGTCCATGCAAGGCCTCTCAAAATTGGGGATCTTGTCCTTCGGAATGCTGCTGCAGTTCAGAAAGGCCGAATCCATGGGAAGCTCTCAGCTACATGGGAGGGACCTTATGAAATTTATGATGAGCTTCAGCCAGGGACATACCGACTTCGGCAGTTGGATGGAACTGAGTTGAAGAATCACTGGAATGCTGATGTACTGAAAAAATACCATGTGTAAACCCTTCGGGGCAGAACAATCTTTGTAAGTACATTTTGAACTAATGACAGGCCTTGGAGCCGCCATTTATATAAAATTTACAACTGTTTATCCTTTCAAAATTTTCTTTGTTCTATCTACTCTTTGAGGGTTTTTTATTCAGCCTCGTCTGAAGCCTTCGCCTTCGGGTAACTGGGTTTCAGATTGCTGACAAAACCTGTCTTTTTAAAGAACACTGGTCTTTCAGCTGAAGTCAAACTTCAGAAAGACTTGTTCTCCAAAGACATGAGTCCATGGACAATTCTGGGATATTGCCTTAACTGAGCCTTGTATCCCAGAGAGCCATTATCCGAAACATTGCCTTAAGTTGGCCCTGTGTTTCGGGTATCCATTTTTCAAAGATAGCCAGAAAATCAAGGATAACAGCAACAGTTGAAAATTTTTAAATCAGCCTCGTCTGAAACCTTCGCCTTCGGGTAACTGGGTTTCAGATGGCTTACAAAACTCAGTCTTTTTAAAGAACACTGGTCTTTCAGCTGAAGTCAAACTTCAGTAAGACTTGTTCTCCAAAGACATGAGTCCATGGACAATTCTGGGATATTGCCTTAACTGAGCCTTGTATCCCAGAGAGCCATTATCCGAAACATTGCCTTAAGTTGGCCCTGTGTTTCGGGTATCCATTTTTCAAAGATAGACAGAAAATCAAGGATAACAGCCTTTTTAAATCAGCCTCGTCTGAAACCTTCGCCTTCGGGTAACTGGGTTTCAGATGGCTTACAAAACTCAGTCTTTTTAAAGAACACTGGTCTTTCAGCTGAAATCAAACATCAGTAAGACCTGTTCTCCAAAGACACGAGTCCATGGACAATCCTGGGATATTGCCTTAACTGAGCCTTGTATCCCAGAGAGCCATTATCCGAAACATTGCCTTAAGTTGGCCCTGTGTTTCGGATATACGTCTTCTTTAAGAACGCTGGTCTTTCAGCTGAAGTCAAATTTCAGTAAGACTTGTTCTAAAGAGGTTAGTCCCAGAAAGCTAATATCCCAAGCATTGCCTTCAGTTGGCCCTGTGTTTCGGATATCCAACTTTCAGACAATCTTCAGTAAGACTTGTATCCCAGAAGCATTGCCTTCAGTTGGCCCTGTGTTTCGGATATCCAACTTTCAGACAGTCAATCTTCAGTAAGACTTGTATCCCAGAAGCATTGCCTTAAGTTGGCCCTGTGTTTCGGATATCTATTTTGAAGAAGTTCAGAAATTGCTTATTCAACTAAAGTCATACTTCAATTTCTGTGGGGGCAAGAAGCACGCAGTGCAGCTATGTTCGGCAGAGTTGAAGAAAAGAAACAGTAAAGCATTCAAAAATAAAGCAACTGAAGAAAAAATTTTTGAGCTACAAGTTCAATAATTCAGTATCGGCAGCCGCCCACAAGCGGAAAATAACAGCTGCCGAAATACGTACATAAGCAAAAAAATAAAACTGCTGTACGACAAGGCAAGCTGAAGCAAAAAACAAGGCAAAAAACTCAGAAAGCGGCAAGTCTAAAGTTAAGCACATGATGAACCGCAAGATTCTGAAGACGACTGCCCGAGTTCCTATGCTTCAGCCGGGGGATCAGACTGATCAGCGTTGAGTCCCATGGTGGCCTCAGCCCCAGCAGCCGAAGAGGCGGGCTTTGCATTTTGCCGAGCCTCCCTTTCCCTCTGCTCAGCTTCCAACTCCAGTCTTTCAGCTTCCTCTTCGGCTTCCTCAGCCTTAAGAATTTCAGCTTCAGCTGGAGTTGCATACTTCATGTGAGGGTCTTCGGGATTCTGGACCCACTCAGCACATTTAGACCAGTCCAGCTTCGGCTCAGCATGAAGGCAGAGTCTTCGGCATACTCGGAATCCGTTTCTGAAACCCATCTCATATTCCTCTTGGGTGTAAACACGGACTTTGAGTAAAGCCTCAGCATCAGCCAGCTTCTTCTGGGTCTCCTCCAAGTCTTCCTTGGATTTCTTCAGCTGTTCAGCGACTTTGGAGGAGGAACCCTTCAGCTCATTCAGCTCTTGCTGAATTTGGAAAGCCTTTGTCTGAGCTTGGGCCACTTCAACTTTCTGGATCAGCAGTTGATCCTCAGCCTCTTGGAATTTAGCTCTTTGAGCTTCAGCAGCAGCAGCAGCCTCTGAGAGTTGGACGTCTTTGGCCAAGAGCAACTCTTCAGCAGCCATTCGGCTGGCTTCAAGAGCCTCTAGACGCTGCTGCACTTCAGCTTGTGCAGCAGTTCCTTCTTGAATTCGGCTCTCAATAGCAGCCTTGAATTTGGAGACGTCCACTCCCATATGCTCCTGGAGGAATTTTTCCCCTTCCATCAGTGGGGGAAAAACCTCCATCTCCATAGCATCGCAGAAGGTTTTCAGAGCTTCGGCAGCTTTTTTACCGTACTCCTCAACCTCCTGCTGCTTCTCTTCAGCTGCTGCTTGCTTCAGCTTAGCAAGCTTAACTTCCTCTTCAGCCACCTTCCTTTCGTGCACAGCAGCGTCTACCCTATCTTGTAGGGTATCAATCAGCTCTACAGTGAGAGTCTGATTGTGCACGAACTGAAAACAGGAAGACAAAAAAAAATAAGTAATAAGAAAAAAAAAATAGAGCTGAATTTCGGAGGGAATGAAGGAAAATTACCTGCATCATCAGCAGTTGGTTAGACCTGGCTGGGTCAGGAACTGATCTACTGGATTCGCCCATCCCAGCAGTGGCCTTCAGCGACCAGATCCTTGCCCTGTCTACTTCGGACATGCCAGCAAAACTGCCGAAGTAGGCTTCAGCTCCTTCTCGGTTTTGACCCCATATGAGGTCCCAGATGTGATCTGGGATTGGAATTCGGGGGGCCGAGAAACCCATTTCTCCAGAATGCAGAGTCTGGAAAGAAGGGAAGGACGACGATGGAGCTTGATTAGCTTTGGTTGTCTCAGCATCGTCCTTCTCAGAGGAGTCAAGTACTATGACCTCCTCTTCTTCAGGGGTGAGGACGAAAGCCTCAACCTCTCTTGCGATATCTGCCGTGAAGCCTTCAGCACTTGACATCACGGCATCTTTATTTTCGTGCTCAGCAGCACTCTCCTTGATTTCTTCTTGGACCCCTCCCTTAGGTTCGGGAGTTCTCTGATCCACCTCCATCTCAGGAGGTGGCGGAGGGGTCTTTTGAGGAGATTGGGGTGTTGGCTGGGGAACCCTCGGCGATCCATTGCCTTCCTCAGGTTCCCTTATTGCGACGCCGATGGTCATCGGCCTCTGCTGAAAATCATGAGGGCCGATGATGGCCATCCTTCGGCGCCTTTTCAGAAGAGGCTGCTCGTCCATATCTGAGTCTGAAGACTCTTGTATTTGATCTTCGGGACGAACAGGAGCTTTGCCTTCTCTGTGTCTGTTACTCTCTTCAGACTGTAACAGACAGGGGGAAGAAGAGTGTGAGTAAAAAAAAAAAAAAAAAAAAAAAAAAAAAAAAAAAAAAAAAAAAAAAAAAAAAAGAAGAAAAGAAAAAAGTTGTCTGAAAGCTCACCGAGGTCTTCAGCAAAGCCTCGTCTTCTTCAGCTGCTCTAGCTGCAGCTTCGGCTTCAGCAGCTCTGGAGGACCCTTCTCCTCCTTCACAAGCCTCAAGTACCCGTGCAACCTCTTCGGCTGTGCGGGCAGCTTCAGCTTCTTCGTTCAGCAGCTGAAACCAAGGGTCTCTCTTCTTCCACCAAGGCTTCTGCCTCTGATACAGAGCAACAGCCTCAATTTGGAAGTGGGAAGAGTCCAGATGAACTTCCCTATGCCTCGGCTCAGTGATAGACGGGGCCCGTTCAGTTACAACTCGCTCTCGGTTAACACCAAGACGAGCGTAGTTAATACCAACGTTGGTCTCGTCCCGCTCTGAAAAAAGGAAAGGGAAAAAGTTTAGCTCAGATATGTTGGCACAGCATAAAAAAGCAAAGCGAGAGAAGAAAAAGAGGTAGTTAAAAGCCTCGGCCCCAGCCGAAGAAGCTTACCATCCTTAAACTTTCGGCTGAGGCCAACAGCTGCTAGCATATTCTCTTGGAAAACGTAATGCGTATCGGGGAGCCAAGTCTCCGGGATATGCTGCATTCGACCACTCCCCCCCGGGTTCGGCAGCTTGCCGAAGATATGTTGCTGATCCAGGTTCGGATCCGCCCCGTTATCTGCGGGGGGACCTAGACTTCCCATTTCGGGATCAGGCTCAGCTAAGTACCGGGGAGCGCTGAAGACGCAAGGGTGGCCCGGATCTATGGGTGCCCTAACCCAAATCCATTGACCTCTCCAGTCCTTGTCTGAAGAGTCATTTGGCCACATGGTCAAGTATTGGGGCCGGGACTCAATCCGATACCACCCAGAACCATGGCTTCCGTGCCCACTCTGAATATTTGGCACTAGCCGATGGAGCTTTCTGAAGCAGTGCAGGTTCGGCACGTATCTGAAGAACTTGCAGACCCATAAGTATGTCATCACCCTTCGGATGCTGGTGGGGGTTAGCTGACATAGGGAAATGTTGTAATGGATCAGCAAGTCTCGGACGAAAACGTCCAAAGGGAACCTCAGCCCATACTGAAGCTGTCTCGTGTACACCCCCACATACCCCGGGGGTGGACGATGGATTCTATCGGATGCTGAGGGCATTCGGCACCAATATCCATCAGCTTCAAAAATGCCGTAGTGCAACTCAATTTGCTCGGCAAATCGATATTGATCGGCGTTCTCTACCCACCATGAGTAGGGGCGGTTCTTTATCATGGCCGAAGCGACTTCGGCATTCTCCCACTCTGAAAACCCAGGGAGGATATCCCAAAGGACAGCGGGAATTTCATCGTCCCGTCCAGAAGCACTCGGCTCATCCGTTCTTTGAGGAGGAGCCGAGGAAAGGGGAGTCGCCCTAATCCCATCAGCAGGGTCAGACTCCGGCCTTCGACCATTCCAGGTCCCAATCCTATTCCTAGGATCGGGAATCGGCCTTGCTCTTCTTGGAGCACGGGCTCTACCTCTAACTCCTCTTGCCATGGACTATTTCGAAGAGAAAAGTCGAAAGAAGAGGGGAAGGAGTTCGAATTCGAAGAAAAATAAACTGAAATCAAAGGAATTTACCTAATCTGAAGCGAAAGTTGCCGATTTACGAGTTCGTAGTGGCAAGTCTCAGCTTCTAAGCTCAATGCTCGGGGGAATTTGCGAAGTTTTGATACGGATTCTTGGATTCTCTCTCGAAGAATTCTGGGTTTGTGTTGGTGAATCAGTGAGGAGAATGACGCGCCTCTGTTTATATCTCCAGGTACGGGATACGAAGAGTCTGTGCTTTAATTTCTCTTAAGTACCCACTAAGTAACCATTAAACACATGTCTTGTGATTAAACCGCCCATTATCCGTCCAACTTCCGCAAATCATTAACCGTTGTTATCTCATTAATTACGGTTTAAATTCAAATTTTTGGATCAATTAAATCATTTACTTCCCTCCTTTTCTGAGTTAAATCAAACCCGACCCGTCATTCTTCCGAATCGGGTCTGGGGGGCAAGTTGTTTGGGTCCAATTTAGTCAAAATTGGGCCTGAGCACTAAATGATCCAATTAAAAGCCCAAGGTCAAGGTTCAACTCTCCAATTGCTCAAAAGTCAAAAGTCAGCCCACAAAGTAAGCCAATTGGGCTAAAGCCCAACCTCTCCAAATATGATGAGGTATAAAAGCCCTCATATTAACACATTCAAGGAGAGAGTCATATTCTTACATAAGACATCTCATAACATCATATACACTATCAGACACAACAACACATGCATCATCACATACATTATCTCATACACGGATTATTCCAACTCATATGCTCATTCTTGCATTGAGAAATACTCCACAAAAGCCTCAAGCTACAAACTCTCTTGCATAGTGTCTTCCTTTTTACACATTGTACTGACTTTAGCATCGGAGGGGCCTTCCTCGGAAACACCCCCGAGGCTAGTTTACGTGTGTTCACTGTGCAGGAAACCTTCGGCCCAACACAGCTTGGATCGAATCCAGTCTTCTCCATTTTAGTGGACCTTCGGCAAGGTCCCATTGTTTTCAACCGAAACACCACGGATCTCGTGGCCCTCTCGGGAGCCCACACGATCGGACTCGCCCATTGCAACTCCTTCACCAATAGACTCTACCCTACTCAAGACCCTACCATGGACCAAACATTTGCTAACAACCTTAAACTCGTTTGCCCTACAAATACCACTAATCGGACTACAAATTTGGACATTCGTACTCCTAATGAATTCGATAACAAGTATTATGTCAACCTTATGAACCGTCAAGGCTTATTCACCTCCGATCAAGATTTACATACCGATTCAAGGACAAGGGGCATTGTCACGAGTTTTGCTACGAACCAAGACTTGTTCCATGAAAAATTCATCGACGCAATGGTGAAAATGGGCCAAATTAGTGTATTGACCGGGACACAAGGCGAAATTCGTGCAAATTGTTCAGCAAGGAATACTCGTACTAATTTTGATCTCGAGTCTATGGTGGAAGAGGATCAAGAACAAAAACAATTGGCACAATATTAAGGATTATGTTCGTAAAACATCTTCTAAGTCGGGTTAGATTGTAACGATATTAGTATGTTTGGCCAGCTTGTTACTTCAAGTTTAAAGATCGATGTCTTGTCGTATGTGTTTTAGTACGTATGATGTTATGTAATGAATTAAATGGAATATTGTCTTAAGGATTTCCAGGCTCTAAATAAAGGATTGTATTCATGTTATACCTATCTATAAACTGTTAAATAGATTTGGTTCACACTAATTTAATTTATTGTATACCACTAATATTAAGGTCACTTTGTTTAAATATTGATATTTTAAAATATAGCCATTATACCAATAAAATGGTCACTATGTCAAAATAAAGTTTAATATGTTAAAAATAAAAGTCATTGTGTTATAATAAAGGTCATGTATAAGAGATAATTAATATGTTTTATAATGAGAGTTTAATACATGGGTCAGTATGAATATAAAGGTCACTATAGTAAAATTAAGGCCAGTACGTTAAAATTAGGGTCACTATGTTCAACGTAATGTCATTTGGCACGTGTAGATATCAATATATGTTCAACATTACGTTAGCTGGCACATCAAGTCCACAATAATATTATTGTGAACCAGGTTTACACAAGGATTTTCCATACCTATCTATATTCGCGCGCTTCATGAAGTTCTTTTTTACTTGTCTCGTTTGTCTTTTTGCACAGTCTCAATATAATGTGTACTTTGTATATTTGATCATCAGTATTTTCAACAACGCATTATTAAAATAATGTATCTGGTTAAAATTTTGAAACTACAAATTGATATTAATCTAACAAGATTTTACATGAATTACTATTTTATTTTATTTTATTATTTTTTTATTTTTTTATGTTATAATTATTGAAGATTTTTCACAGACAAAATTTCTCTCTTTTGATGAAAGATCTCAAATAGGATAAACAAAAATGAATAAAGAAAGTAGTATACTAGGATCATTACTTGTGTATTAGTCTTGTTCTTTAGCTTAATATGAATCATCAAGGCTCACTACTATTAACCAAATTACTATAACTATTTGTCCATGAAACTAACTATAACATGCATATTTTTAAAAATCACCTATCTTATCGGCAACTTAGGCATTATATTTACTTTAATGATTAAAATTTTACTAATACTAGTATTCTACCTTCATTTAGTAATGAACCATAATTCATCTTTTAAAGGCATAGGTTGAATAATAATAGGTCAGGTGTATTTGTATTTTTTCAAGTTAAATAAACCATTGAATTTGGATATAAATTCGTGTATCATTCAATCAATCAAATCCTTAATTCCATAAGTGGGGTCAGCTAAATGAACCAAATTTGATTATTCCGTGTAGTCATCCACTAAAATCTTCCTCCTCCATCCCTTACGATCCAGGCCAATGCTTCATCCGATCCTTATGCAGATCCATATATTTCATATCCTTCCTAACTCCTTTCAACCAAGTCATTTTCGGTCTCCCTCTCCCTCGTTTAACCCCTCCATGGTCCCACTCTTCCACTCTTCGAACCGGTGCACCCTCAGGTCTCCGTCTTACATGTCCAAACCAACACAGATGATTTTCCCTTAGTTTGTCTGCAATGCTTGCTTGTCACACCTACTTTCTTATGTCATTGTGTTTTATTATTCATAGGTTGTACTCCGTATGAAATTAAAATTAATAAGAATTGCGGAAAAACAAATTTTGCTAAATCAAAAAATTGTTTTCTTTGGACAAACATAAAAGGCCGAAAATTGAACCAGATTTAAATAGTTAAGTTCGAACCATTTTGGACTGATCTATTGGGCCACCCAATTGGATAGTTCCTTTTGTTTGACGACGCAACTAGTTTTGGATTATGATGTGTTCTACTTATTTGATTTTCACATAATTGTATTTATCTGAACTTACTGAAAGTTAACTAAAACTATTAGACAATATTAGAATTTATATATTCGTATTAGATTGAAATAAAGTAATTGATATTAGCTCTGCTCAAAACTTATTATTTCCAAAACAAATGAAGACGCGATAAGCATAACATGTCCTTATTCTAGTCTTGGAGATGTGGACAACCTTTGGCATATTGATGACTTTTCTATAAAGCTCAAGTTGGCATGAAGCTGCAATATTTGTTATAAAAACTTAAAATAGCTAAGGTATAATTAGTGTCGTTAAATTTTTCTCAAAAAAAAAAAAAAAAAAAAAAAAAATTAGTGTCGTTAAATTATGCCCCAATGAGTATTAAAAACAAGATACTGTATGTGTTTGAGTAATTAAATATAGATTTGTTTAGTCAAGGTCTTCAGTTGACAACGAAAACTAGTTCACACATTAGATCTATTACAATAAGCACTAAGTAATAATTTCATAAGTTTAAATTAAGGATTAGAGTTAAAGATATAGCAATGTAAAATTTTTTTTTTAGTAGGTGATTATGTGATTTACTTGTTCCCGCTTAGATATTAGAAACCTTACTGGTGATAAAATTGACATGCATGTGGTCACCTAAAACATTGTTTAATTAGCTCACCAAATTTGATTTAAATTATTCAGACTATTGATCTGATCTAATCTTATATGATTTTCCGAGTTGATTAAGTTTTGACATTATTAGTTACATTCAATCCGTGCTAAGTTCACGTGAACTTTCTAGATATGAAATTTTCATAAGTAAAAAAATCATAAAACATGTAAACACGAAAATATGGGGTAGTTTGTCTTGATTTGATCTAATGATCTTTTAAATAAAACGTGTTAGAATATATGTATCAATATAATCTAACAATATGTTATCTGAATAGAACATATATTCTAATATAATGATATCCATACTCAAAAGACCTTAAGAGATAATATACATAACTTAATATCAAACCTCGTCCACATTATTAGTGCGCTCTATACATCGCCCTAAAATTAAAATAAAAAAAGTTACAAACACTAATGTTAGTTATCATCTAAGATAAGCTTGATCTATTTAAATTATGTGTAAGAAATGTGGGTATAGTTAAAATGCATGTGCTTTCACCTGGCCATACGTGGTCATTGACCAAACTGAGGAAGATAAAATTAACATCGGAACTCCTCTATATTCTAACGTATACTGACAAGATCAAAGATTATTCAATCTCAACTAATCATTAAAATAACCCATCAAATGATCCACGCTTTCACACCAAACTGGCAATACCTTATTGTTTTTTTCCTAGAAATTGTCAAACACAATGCTCCAACATTCATAACAACCAAAGTTTTTCGTTGAAAAACATATCACAAAAACAATGGGCTCTTCTAAATTTATTTCACTTTCTTTAGTTTTGTTTTCTTTGGTTGTAGGAATATGTAAGGGTCAAAGCACAATACCAGTTGTGCCTGGACTTTCATACTCGTTTTATTCATCTAGTTGCCCGGATTTGGAGTTCATTGTTAGAAGTCATCTTTGGGAAGTTTTTAACAATGATATTACACAAGCCGCGGGTTTGCTCCGTCTTCACTTCCATGATTGTTTTGTTCAGGTATTATATATCGTCAACTATTGTTTTCTTTTACTTACCCGTTTGGCTAAATGTAAAAGCGAAATGCCAAGACTTTTTGCGAGCAATAGGTAGATAATAGATATTCACATGAGTGATAGAGCAGGTTTGAATTTAGATTTATGCCCACTTATGTTGGTTTGTATGTTGAATATAATTTCTAATAGCTTTAGTCATAGTTGGTATTAAAATTGTATTTATTAGATTGTATCATCTTTAAACCAACAAAGAATTTTATTCATACCAACAAAACTTTAATCTAATTTTTCATTATTGGTACCAATAAGTAAGTATTTTGGTATTATAGTGCTGATATCATCTAAGCACAATTTAATACCATCGAGTACTATTAGAGTTATCATTAATTCAAACTATTAAATGCTGAGGATTTCTAGTTGAATATGTACCTACTAGGCCATTACTATGAGTATTGTGTAGATTGTGAAGTATTATATATTTATATGTGCCTCAAATCCTCCAATTCATGCCCCCTTTTACCTTATACGAAGTACGGAGTATCTTATTACTTAACTTTCTATCTTGGAATTTTGTTTTGCCATAACTCTCACGTGTTTAGATTCTCCTCGATCTTCTCTGGCCTAAGTAGCAAAATTGATAATTCTAAGGAAGCCTAATTCATCATGAAGAATAAGTATTAGCGTATAGCACCTATGTGCTTAGAAAGTGTATAGGATGACACTGGTTTTCTAGTGGTATAATTCAAACTACAAAACGTACGTACCACTTTGATTAAATGGAGTGAGCCCCAGTTTCTCTTCATGAGAAACACTTTTATTTCTCATAATGACATTTTGGAAAATAATGTGATGTTTTTCACTGGTGGGGACCGTCTGTCAATTTTGGGTGGACCTCTCATATCTTGACACATACTCTATGTGAAACAAACTTGTTAATCAATAGGAGAAACAAGGAATTACCCGATTAAATGTACCAATGTGATTTCAGTGGTACATTTTCGGAGTATTAAATGTACCACTAGCACAGTTAAGTGGAATATTCAAGTTTTCTAATACCTGGTAAATTACGTTTCTGCCCTCCTATACACTTCGTTTGTCAATAGGTGCTATGCGCTGATATGCACTCCATCATGAATATTCATATTGCCATCAAAAATTTATGTTTTAGGGATGTGATGGATCGGTGTTGCTGGTTGGATCGGCCAGTGGTCCAGATGAGCAAGATGCACCTCCAAACTTGACGTTGCGAGCTGAGGCATTTAAAATCATAGAAGATCTTCGTGCTCTTGTGCATAATGCTTGTGGCCCAATTGTCTCTTGTTCTGATATTGTAGCCCTTGCTGCTCGTGAATCTGTATTTTTGGTACGTTTATCTCTTTTTATGTTAATAGAATAATTACAAGTAATTTGAGTTACATATATTATCTCTACATAGAATTTGCTATAAATAAAAAAACTAAAGTGCATCAAAACCCCTTCACATATTCTACAATAAAAAGTTAAATATGGCTCGAGTATTGTCTAATTAATAACTTATGAGTTAATAATACAAGTTACTTGGTATCGTCCTTATTATCTTCATGCTTTCTCCTAGTCAATTTTTTTATGTACCCATTTGTCATAACTGGTCATGTAAATTTTTGCAGCCAGCTGGACCATACTACGAAATTCCCTTAGGAAGAAGGGACAGTCTAAACTTTGCAACAACACCTGAAACACTAGCAAACCTACCACCACCTACATTCAACACTACAAGCCTCCTCAACGCCTTCACAGACAAAAACTTGACTACAACCGATCTTGTCGCCCTCTCGGGTGGCCACACCATTGGTCGCGGTCACTGCACCTCCTTTGCCAACAGACTTTACCCTACTCAAGACCCTACCATGGACCAAACCTTCGCTAATAACCTTAAGCTCACATGTCCAACAAACACTACCGTTAACACCACGAATTTGGACATTCGTACTCCTAACTTGTTTGACAACAAGTACTTTGTCGACCTCATGAACCGCCAAGGCTTGTTCACGTCCGATCTAGATTTGTACACTGACTCTAGGACAAGGAGCATTGTGAAAAATTTTGCTGTCAACCAAACCCTATTTTTCGAAAAATTCGTGGAAGGGATGATAAAAATGGGGCAACTCGAAGTATTGACGGGTTCACAAGGGGAGATTCGCACGAATTGCTCCGTTAGAAATGGTGATAATATAGGCTTGGCGTCTGTGGTTAAGGAGCAACAAGAACAAGGAATGTTGTCGCAATATTGAGGAATTATACATTGATTGAAGTGAAATAAATGAAGTTTGTGCCAATTACATTATGCATTGTACGTGTGATGATATTTTGTACGTAACTTTTGTATGATTGAGGAGGTATTTTATCATCTTTCATGTATTCTAGTGTTACTACTTTTGTTTTCATTGGAAGAATGAAAGGTGTATTTGTATGTTTGAAAAAAAGCCCCACTTGGTTGCATTAATTAGCTGCTGCAAAACGATGTAAACACTCTACAAGGATAAAGAGCTTCTGCTCCTATTGCCACATGGTTTTGGGAAAATGAAACCTTCATTGAAGTTTGGACTTGTGAAGTAGAAAGATTGTGGGTGTGGCCTAGACCCATATTTGACAAATTTTCAATTTAAGGTCTTAATCTGCCAGTTTGTTTTTATAAAAGGACATTTCTCACAATAGATCTCCATAAATAATCTATTTTGACAAATTTCCCTAAAATTGATAAATTTGAAATCACGCTTTAAAATGAATAATATAACAAGATTTGATCACTTGATTTTTATTTTTATACATTAATGTATAAATAAAGTCAAAAGTCAGGCAAACCACACTTCTTTCGTTCCAAATTAGATGATATAGTTTAAGTTTATTCACTATTCACATAACTTGCTTTGACTTCGTTTTTTGAAATTGTGTTGAGAAAAAGCATATTCACGCGAGTTCTTGTTAAATTTATCTCAACATCTATTTTTAAAATATCACATTTTATAATTTTTGCTAATAATAATCAAGAACATTTGCATTAGAAAATATGTATTTTTGACAAACATGTCTAAATGAAATGTGTCATTTAAAAATATACATTGACAAATGTACCTAAATAAAATTTGGATCAAAGGCTGGTTCCCATTGTATTGTGTCACGTAGCGGTAATATGAGATGAAGGAAGTATTTAACATGACCAGACTTTAGAAAATTCAAACATAATACTAACTGTAGTTTATGGGAAGAGAACAAAGCCACCATCGGAAGAGGTCACTACGACACTCACTAAATCACCAACTCAAGACAATCAACCAAATATCCAAACCAATCAACCCAAAATATCACACAACAAGAATATGAAATATGAACAGCAATAATTCACTCACAAAGCATCAATAATAAGCGGAATAAAATGCAAACAACACACACGAATTATACGTGGAAAACCCCTTCAATGTGAAGGATAAAAACCACGGGACCTCTTGAGGAGTCCACCCTTAATATTCTCTTATTGATAATAAAATTGAGGGTAAAATGAACCCAATATAGTTCACAACAATTCATAACCTGTTAGATATTTAGAGTGTTGATGGTTGCGCGCTCGCGCACCATGAAGAGCGCCCACGTAAGTTAAGCGCGGCCGCGCAGAGAGCGCGCCTAAACCGCGTACATCTCTGGAATTTGGCAAAATGGAAGGAAGAGAAGGCGTGGCCGCGCGATAGTTGGCGCGCCCGCGCGTCCTGAGTGGCGCGCCCGCGCGTCCTGAGTGGCGCGCCCGCGCCACTGGTCGCGCTTAAACCGCGCCCCCTTCTGCCTTCATGTGGAAATTTCGCATTTTTGATGAGGAGCGCCCGCTACTTAAATAGGAGCACCCGCTCCACCTAGTGGAGCGCCCGCGCCTCCCTTTTTTGCGGTTTTTCCTAACGGTTGAGTCTTCTATTATTAGACTTGGGTTTTTCGAACAAGAAGAGATATAGAACATTATTCTCTGAAATTTCTCTCGAAGAATTCTCCATAATTTCTCTCAATTTTCTTGCAAACTATTGTGAGAAATACTCTTGATTTTTAGTCTTCTTTGTGAATCATTCATCTTTATTTCGATTCTTTGTGCTAAGAACGAAAGGGCTGTCAATTGTATCTCAAAGAGAATTTCCGGAATAACCCAAGCACCGTGTGGGGGAAATTAATCTCTTTAGGAAAGTGTTCACACGTCTTTGACAGTGTATCAAGTTCGTAGTCTCAAGAGACATCGCAATTCTCATGTTCATGCGTGGTTGTTTCGGCTTGGAGTTAAGGCAAGTTTGATAATCTTCACATTAGTGTAATCTTAGTGATTTTCTGTAATTACTTAGATATATTAATACTTGATTCTAATACTTGTGAAGTATTTGTTTAATTACATTACTTTGTTTTGTAATCATACATTTTAGGTTTTGTTTCCCACACGAATTTAAGTGTTTTCTAGTTTAATTTCACTGTAAAACCTAACAATCTAAAGAGATTAAGCTTTAGAATTTATCAAGTATGTCTAGTGTGAAGGAATTAACAACTAATTTTGTTAAACTCAAGAAGTTTGACGGTGTTGAATTTAGGAGGTGGAAGAAGAAAATGTATTTTCTTCTTACATCTCTTAATGTTGCCTATGTTATAAGTACTCCAAGGCCGGGTGAACATGAGATGAAACCTTGGAGAAGGTTCGGGAGAGATCGAAATGGGACAATGATGATTTCATTTGTCGTGGTCATATCTTGAATGGTATGGAGGATGACTTGTTTGATGTCTATCAAAACATCGAGTCGGCCAAGGAGCTTTGGGAGTCTTTGGAGAGCAAGTACATGGCGGAGGACGCTTCAAGTAAGAAATTTTTAGTTAGCAATTTCAATAACTTTAAATTTGTTGATGGTCGGTCCACAATGGACCAATTTCATGAATTGCAACGTATTTATGGTAGCTTGGAAAAACATGAAATATCCATGAATGAGTTGTTTGTTGTTTCTAGCATTATTGACAAATTACCCTCTAGTTGGAAAAGTGTTAAGCATGACTTGAAACACAAGAAAGAGGACATGACATTGTCCGGTTTGGCCACCCATCTTCAAATTGAAGAAGGGATACGTGCCATGGAAGGAGCTAAGGATGGAAATCCTAGCACATCTATCGTTAATATGGTAGATGAAAGAAGAGCTAGTGCATCTACTAGTAGAAAGAGGAAGAATAATAATTCTTCCAAAGGAAAGTCCAAAAAGCAAGCAAACAATAACAAGTTTGCTTGTTGGGAATGCGGTAAGGTTGGTCACCGCAAGAAGGACTGCTTTTCTTTTAAGAAAAGGATGGAGAAAGCCAAGGAGGGCCGTGCTAATGAAAGCAAGGACCCACCCACCAAAGGTAATCCAATTCATGAGGTTGAATTTAATTCCGGTTTGGATTTAAATGCAACGGATCCTAACATTTTTATGGTGCAGGATGATGACTCATGGTGGATTGATTCGGGGGCTTCAAGGCATGTGTGCTAGAGTAAACACTGGATCAAAACCTTTCAAAAGGTTTTTGATGGAGAAGACCTCTACATGGGGAACAACTCTACCGTCAAGGTTCTTGGAAGAGGACAAGTTGAGCTTGTGTTTAGTTCGGGGACTGCAATAATTCTTAGGAATGTTTTGTATGCTCCGGAAATTAGTAGGAATCTTGTATCCAGGCCTACTCTGAATAGTCTTGGCTATAAGCTTGTATTTGAAGCTAATAGATGCATTATTACTTGGGGTGTAACATTTATAGGTCGTTTCTATTTGGAAAATGGTTTTTTTTAAACTCTCTTTGAGAGATAAGTATGTATTGGATGATATTTGTTTGAATGTTGATGTCAATGATAATCATGTTGATTTGAGTTTGTTTGACTTATGGCATTCTAGATTAGGACATGTGAATTACAATAAAATGCTTTTCATGTCCAAACAAGAATTGATACCTTCTTGTGATATTTCTCCTAATAAATGTTCAACTTGCATGTTGAACAAGATCACTAGAACTACTTTTAAGAGAGTTGAGAGAAGTTCTATCATTTTAGAACTAATCCATAGCGACTTGTGTGATTTTCATAGTACTCCTTCTTTGGGGAACAAAAGATACATGATTACATTTATAGATGATTATTCTAGGTTTTGTTATGTGTATCTTTTGCATTCCAAAGATGAAGCTTTAACAAAGTTTGATGTTTATAAAAGAGAAGTAGAACTGTAAGTAGAATCATTTATTAAGAGAATTAGAACTGATAAGGGAGGGGAATATTATGATCCTGTTTATTTCCAATCTTTGGGTATAATTCATGAGACTACGACGGGTTATGCACCACAATCAAATGGTGTAGCTGAAAGGAAAAACAGAACTCTTGAGAAATGGTTAATTCCATGTTATCTTACTCTGGTTTGAGTGAAGGGTTCTGGGGTGAAGCAATGTTGACAGCATGTCACATTCTTAACCGGGTTCCCACTAAGGGAAAACAATCTACTCCTTATGAACTTTGGTACAAAAGAAAACCAAACTTGAAGTATCTCGAGGTTTGGGGTTGTAGGGAAATCGTAAGAGTGCCTGGCAACAAGAAAAGAAAGCTCGATGAAAGGGGCTTGGATTGCATATTTATAGGTTATGCTGAGCATAGCAAAACCTATAGGTTATATGTAATAGAACAAAATGACTATATATCGATTCATTCGGTTATTGAGTCAAGAGATGCAATATTTGATAAAAATCGATTTTCATCAACGAGTGGACCGAAAGATCTACAAATCAGTGCCAATGATAGGAAGATAGTAGATTTGAATGATCAACTTGAAACTCATGAAAGTACATTCGATAATAAGAATGGTAAAACTCCTCAAGTGAGGAGAAGTACTAGAGAAAGGAAAATTAGGAATCCTCTAGATGACTTCATAATTTATTTGGTTGAAGGATTTAGGGATGCCCTTAGTTCCATTACTCCATATTGTTTCAATGTGGATAGTGACCCAAAGACTTATAGCGAGGCAATATCTAGTCAAGATAGTGCATTTTAGAAAGAAGCTATAAATGATGAGATGGATTCCATCATGGGAAATAATACTTGGGTCATAGAGGATTTACCTCCTGGTTGCAAACCTCTTGGTTGCAAGTGGATTTTCACTAGGAAAGGAGACCGAATGGCTCCATAGTGAAATTTAAAGCCAGATTGGTTATCCAAGGCTTTAGGCAAAAGCATGGTGTTGATTATTTCGACACCTATGCACCGGTTGCAAGAATTACCTCTATTAGGTTATTGATCGCAATGGCTTCGGTATATAATCTAGTGATTCATCAAATAGATGTCAAAACGACATTCCTTTATGGAGATCTAGAGGAAGAAGTGTACATGAAACAACCCGAAGGGTTTTGTTTTGGAAGGACAATAAGATAAGGTGTGCAAATTGGTTAAGTCATTGTATGGACTTAAACAAGCACCAAAGCAGTGGCATCGAAAATTTGATGACACAATTCTATCCTTTGGATTCAAAGTGAATCAAGCTGATAAGTGTATATATAGAAAATTTGATGACAAAGGTCATGG